CCTGTTTCGCCAGCTGTGGGTGGATATGATAAGGTATAAAGATGGCATTACTTTGCATACTGAGGCCAGATTACAGAGAGCAGAGTGGGAAATGTGTATGAGCTGTTTTACTGAGCATAAAGACGCACGCAGTCATTTGTAGCAGAGCTCAAAAATATACCTAACATACTATTTAACAGCTTTAACTTGTTACCAGAGTGGCTTCAGGATCCCTCCTAGCTATGGCAGCTTGGGCACAGACAGCTTTTCTACTTTTCAGCATAATGTTAGCAGTGATAGGCAAAGTGGAAAAAGAGCTTTCTCCAGAGTGCAAAGAATTCCTCTACATGGGAACGCCACCGAGAGGACTGGAACACCACTCCGTCCAGTTCATTTGTCAGTACTACAACAAAAAGCCACGCTACGTGACTCTGTACAACACTGTGGACCATATACCGATCTACTCTGCCTACATATTTAAACGCTCAGAAGGGGAGAAATGTATGGATGTCCCTTGGATGTACGAACCTCAGGTAAAGAAAACTAGAAAGTTCACTGCTTTGAAATGTGCGTAAGAATTTGTTGCGTAGTCATGTAATCGCATTCAGTCATGCTCATGCCCTCATTTGCTGTGGGTCTGTCTCTCTGCACAGCTGTCCACATCCTCTGAAACAGACGAGATGCAGCCCTTTCCACGGAGTTACGTGCACATGAACTTTGAAGATGCCCAAGCTGTTCTTGACGATTACACAAATGCCATCCTTTACGAGCGCGGCACGCTCAACCCGGACGAGCATCAGAATGAACCTGACGACAAAGCAGCTACCTACACCCTCACCAATGTGGTACCCGTGGTGCCTGAAGTCAACAACCTAATCTGGGACAAACAGGAACACATGATCCGCAAAAGGCTTAACAACTACTGTCGTGGAACGGCGCACATTGTCACCGGGGTCACCACCTCTGGCAAGATGATCCGCCGGGAAAACATGAACCGCATTGCAGTTCCCACCTACCTGTGGTCAGCATATTGCTGTGTTGACTATGACCACAACACACCTTTTATGAACCGTTATAAATTCCCATCTTTTGCTTACTATGGCCTCAACGAGGATGAGAACAATGACATGGTGGAAGTCTCCGTCCAGAAGCTGGAGGAGTTTCTCAAGAAGACAGAATTTGTAAGCCAGAACTTTCAGATCTTTGTGGGCGACTGTTCCATACAAGCACCTGAGAAAACTGCTTAGGGAAAATATTTAGAGATATTTTAACATTTGACAAATTAAAGAAAGACAAAAAAAGTAGTCCTACCAGAAGAGTGCCAGTGTACCTTCTCATTGGTCTCTGGAACATCAATCTCTCAACAGATGTTCCTGTATCTTTTTTATTCCCTTTATTATTTGGTGTTTTTATGATTTATGTCCTGTGATTATTCAATTGGGTTTTAATCCTGTTATTACAGAGGCCATAATCTATGAACTGCTTTAAATTCATACCCATCAAACCATTCAGTAATCCTCATGCCCTCTGGATTGGGGCACTGTCATCATAGAGGAGACCACACCCATCAGAATAAAATGTTGTAATCATAGAACAAAGGTTATGAAAAGTTTCTTTTAACTTGCAGTGCCCCTTCAAAGAGGACAGATGAATCCAAACCATAAACGAGATATACAGGTTATTCATTTTTCCTTTAAGTTGTCACTGATCTTTGTGGTGTTTATAAGTAAAATGAGGTGCCATCATGTGCCAACAAAACATCCAGCTAAATTATAACAGTGTGACAGTGAGCTATCGCTAACAGTATCCATGAAATTTGCAACCAGAATTTCTTTTGTTATCTACACCTGTGCTTTTTCTACTGTGCATGGTAATTTATATGACACGTTACATCAGGTAAAACAAAAGCTTCCAAGCGGGTCATAAAATCTGCTGACACTGGATATCACGTGTATTTTTTGTTGTTCTGCATAACCTTTACTTTGAAGGCAGAGGCATAGCCAGCTATCAAGGAGGGGGGGAGGGGGGGATTTACATTAGTAGGTTGTTCACGTGTTGGAAAGGTGTGGGGGAGGGGCCATACTGTACTTTAAACACTCTTGCAATGTAACAAAATGTAACTTTCTCATATATTTCACAGGAATAAACCACTGAATGAAACTGTCTCTGAACTTTTGTTTTTGACATATTCTGGGCAATTTGAAACCTGTCATCAGACGTCATATGCATATTAAGTTACAGCACCAGCTTATGATGGGATAGAGCTTTTTAATTTGCTGCTGAAATGAAAAATCTAAACTTGATATGTGGAAATTCTCCAATGCAAGTCTCCTTCTACACTTTAAACAAAAACTGGCTTTAAAACATGAGTTTCCCATTTCTACTCTTTCATTAAACTTCAGCTTCATTCACTGCAACAAGGCTGACGATGGAAAAAAGGCTATTTTTCTGAAGTGAGTGGCATTTGTCCTCTGCACTTTACAGTAATAAAATGCTCTCAGTGACTGATAACTACTGCTACGACACTCGTGGGAATTTGAATATATGGAAAAGCCTTTACAATGAGAGAATTGCTCGCTTGAAGTGCAGGTGAGGCATGAAGGGAAATGTGGGGTGTGATAGAGCTGGGACAGAGGCTGTACTTGTTAGGCAGTAGTAGATTGCAGTGGTGTGTCACAGGTGAATTAGAGACACATTAGCAAGAGAAGACACATCTAAAAAGACACAAAAGAGAGCTGCTGAGAAAAAAAGCTGCAGTGATGATACCTACATTTACAAATTGTGCCTTAGCAACGGCAGCTGCCATGGTCTTCCTAATGTGTGGATTGCTTGAAGTGTCCCAGGCAGGAGTTGTGGGAGACTTCAACCATGCGGAGCGCTGCAAGGACTCTCTCTTTATGGGAACACCACCACGAGGATACCTCAGCAACTCCTTTAAGAAGATCTGCCAGCGGTATGAGGACAAACCCCGCTATGTCACCCTGTACGACTCACACAAACACGTCCCCATCTACTCAGCCTATACATTCAAGAAGTCAGACGGGGAGAAGAAGGTGGATTTCCCTTGGATGTTCGAGCCTCAGGTGAGAGTGCTTGCGAGCTCAGTCAAGGATGAAACAAATAAAACAGAAGCCTGGTTTCATTCTCAATTTTGCATGTTTGCCCATACAGTGTGCTATATATCTGACATAATACTATTCACACTATATATACCATATATTCACAGTACTCTGTATCTATTCACATGCAGTCATTGGAGATTTCTTGACATTTTTGGAAGTGTAAAGGCAATATCACCTGATGTTTCTTAACAAGCAGCTAAAGAACTGCAGCAACTATGCTACTGTAATAGAAACAATGTCAAGCTGAGATAAGCTGCTTTATTAGCTCTGTGTGCTATTTCACTGAGATAGTGTTGCCATTACCATTTATGCAAATTTGGCATTTTTCTCTAAAAATGACAAAAGTTTGTTTCTTTTCTGTAAGAAGTGGCTGTTTAATTGCAGAAAAGCACCGGCAGCTAGATTCGTCAACTTTTAACGGTGCTTTGTGTAAACTACAACAGAGTTTACAGTTCATGGCTGCGCTTATTGTAAGCTTTAGTAGCTGACTCTCAACCCTTTGGATGCCGTTATACTGTTTTTGTCTTCCTATTTTAATTCAGTTTTATTTATATAGAGCCAAATCAAAATAACAGTTGCCTTAAGCTGCTTTATACTGTAAGGTAAAGACCAACAATCAGACGAAGAGCAAGCACTTGGAGCCAGTGGGAAGAAAAAAAACTCCCTTTTAGCAGGAAGAAACCTCCGACAGAAACAGGCTAAGGGAGAAGCAGCCATCTGGTGTGTCAGGTTGGGGTTAATCTTCATAAACAGATTATCTTTTTAAAAGTATAACTTCAACTCTTTGCCCACACACCATGAGTTTTGTCTCCTATATTTGTATAAGTGTGACAAGATATGAACTTATTCACATTTCCACTGAGTTATTGGACAACTACTGGTCTATTTAAACAGTCGCACAAGCAAACAATACCATCATATCATCTCTATTCCCATGAGTCTTTGCACCATTCCCAGAAAAAAATGAGTATGCAAACTGTGAGTAAAACTACTTTGCTTTTTATTTTCTCTCTCTCTCTCTCCATAGTTGGCCTCAGAAAAGAGCAGCAGTAACATGGAGCCCTTCCCCCAGTCTGCAAACATGCACATGAACTTTGAGGACTCCCAGGCAGTCCTGGAGGACTACGCCGATGTGGTTCAGTATGAACGCGGCCAACTAAATCCCGATGAGCATCAGGCTGACCCTCTAGACAAGGCGTCCACCTACACCTTGACGAACGTGGTGCCTCAGATCAGGGAGTTCAACATGGGTCCTTGGGCGGAACACCGAGACATCGTCCGAAAGCGCCTCAACAACTACTGCCGCGGCAAAGCCTTTGTGATCACCGGGGTCACCACTTCTGGACACACGATCCGTCGCAACAACCAGGACCGGGTAGCTGTGCCCGAGTACATGTGGTCGGCCTACTGCTGCACCGAGTTCGACCAAAATGCGCCGTACTTTGTGCGCTATAAGTTCCCTGTCTTTGGTGCATATGGGCTAAATGATCGTGTCAACAACCAAATGGTGGAGGTTCCTCTCAAAAACCTAGAGAAATTCCTCAAGGGGAGGATGGATGTGGACAAGAACTTCCAGATTTTCTATAAAGATTGTGTATCAGATAAATGATATAAAAGGTGATCTTTTGATCTCTTGGCAGAAACGTAGCTCGAGAAATAAATGGAACCCAGATGTCATGTCAAATTAAATAATATGATGCAAGGAATAAAACGGAGAATTGAGTGAGCCTAAATGAAGCTTGTCTCATTTAATATGTTTACATGCGTACAGATCTCTTTCTCAGTGCATATTGAAGCATTGTCCAGCACATATCATGTGTAGGTGATCACAAGATTTTCCTCATTTCCTTATGATGGCTTTCTGTATCCAGCATGATCAGGAGACACATGCATTTGTAGTAAATGATCTTGAGCACAAAATGTGAAATAAAAGTGAGCAGCTGTCAAGGGTCTATGTAGGCCTGTAGAATACTGAAAAATATTTTTCACAAAAACACAAAATGAAGACATTTGAGAAGCCAAACACACTGTTTAAGAAGTTAACTGATCCTCACATTTCTAATAAAAAAACAAAAACCAACATATTCGATTGGTACTGCTGCTCTTCAAGAGCTTTAATGAGTTTAACCACAGGATGGCACTGCAGCTCATTTTGAAACAACCATACTGAATGTCTAAAACACATTTAGCAGTCTTGCAGTCTGTGGCATACATAGATTATAAAATGAAGACTGATCCAGAGATGATACTCTTTTCCATGCCACCCACCCTCTCCTCTGCAGCTCTGTCCTGTCCAGCTCACATCCATAGTAATGCGGGTCGAGAACCAGCAAATAGCTCCCCTTATCCCCGGTCCACACCCCCAATGCCCCCTTTGAGGAGTTGTCTCTGTCTCCTCCCATCATCACTGGAGAGTTGTGCTTCTCAAAGTGCTGATGGAGCTCAGCCACTGCGACATGCTCCAGCTCGGGCCCTCCGCCTCTGACATGCACCACTTTGCAGGGAACATCGTAGAAATGGTCGAGGACTAGAGAGCATTCAAATGTTCCTATCCACTCCCTGGAGCCTGAAAAGGAGTCGGTTTTGTCCCCCATTGTTACCAACGCGTGCTGGATTTCGGGGAGGCTTGGTACCGGCCTGCAGTGGTTCTCAGGCGGAGAGCAGTTATGACAAATCCACGAAGACAGCGTTTGAACGGTCCTGTAGCCACATCCCCAGCCTCTGTCATCCTGTCCATCGCATCCATAGTGGAAGTAGAGATAGTCTCCTTTTATTAGAGAACATTTTATAGCACCCGAAGGTGGATTAGGAAGACCAGTGTGCACATTCTTCAATAAAGTTTTGTCCTTTTGTAAATTTTTGCTCCCTCCTGCTCCACTTCCTCCCCAGTCAATCTCTTCCTCTGACGGCGCTGGTACGGACTTTTTATCCATGTTTTTCCTCTTTTCTTTCCTTTTTTATTTTTTACAAACACATATAACATCCAAACACTCGTCAGCAGTTTCAAAACATCCGACGCTTACTAAGTACAGCTACAATAACTATCCCTACGGAACACTAAGAGGAGTAACTGAGTTCCGTCTTGACATTGGTTCCACTCACAGTTATGCCCTCAAGAGCCCTTCGGTCTTTTCGTTTCATTTTGTTTCTAAACACACAAAGTCACCGGTTTCAGTCGTTTGAAAGTGAAATTACTGTACGACTGCTACTACTACTAAACAAACAAATATTCGAGTGTGCGAAAATATCGTTATCTTGAAATGAATATTTCCACATAGATATGTGTGCTGATAAAATAGAATTAGGATGCAGTGTGTTGACAAGAAAAAAAAAGGTCACCAAAACAAAATTGCTTAATGTAGCACATGTTTTTTTTAATTAAGTATAGCGTGAATAAAAATGTTTGTATTTCCCCCCACAGTCTTTGAAAGTAGAATCCACGGTCCAGCGCGCGAGAGCACGGCGCAGTACACCTGTGTACAACCACGTTAATTACTCAGGCCTTGGGTTTTCTCTTTGGCAATGGCTACCCAGGGAAAACACACCGGTGTCGCCTACATTTTCGCAGTTTTGGTATATCTGCGTTTTGCCCCCAAAATAATGTAGAAACTCTTTAAAGCACTTAAAAATAAGATGCGGCGAAAACAAAGTGAGAATAGCCGAGAAGCATCAGTTTTCCCAGGACAGACGTTCAGTCCCCAGTGTTTTCAACTTGGAGAAAACTTGTCCCAGGAAAGCTCCTGCAGACCAAAGGAAGCGGTGTCTGAAGCTGAAATGGTTATCTCTGCAGGGCTACGAGAATGTGAGACTGAGTCCAGTGTAAAAATAAGCTCAGCTGGTACACTTAAAGGATTAAAAGAGCAAGTTTGACTTCAACGTAACCGAGAAAAGGCAGAAAATGGCATCTAAAGGGAAGATAAATTACTATAATTGATAAATAAACGGGTGGAAAGGGGACAAATCATACGGCTCGCTAAAAGTATGAATGATGTAATGTGTTATTGTATACTGTTAAATGTGTTTTTTTAGGAGTATTTACATAATTGATCAATTATGTTACTATAGCTAGTAGTTAAATTGTAAACAGTTTAAATGGCTGAATTTTTTTTAAATTGTTGGCTAACGGTACAAATTGTATCACTGGCAAAATAGGCGAAGCTGGTCACTTTAGTGGAGTAAAAGTAAAAGCTGAATGATTAGAATAGAAAACCAACAGTGCAGGGTTCAAACGGTTAACAGTTACAAGAAACTTGTCCAGATTAAACTGAGTTCAACGCCTGTGTGTTTATATGATGACAAACACTGGCATAGCCTGTGTGTAATTTTTGTGTGAATACAGGAAGCAAAAAGTAAGTCGAGAACCACTAAGCCTAACCTGGGTACCAATTAATGACATCCACGGTCAGTGTCTTTGGACTGCAGCAGTTCTCCCTTCATATCTTGGCAGGTTAAACTGAAGTCTTATTCATTCTCTAGTTTGGCGATATTGTTTGTATGTGGAGTCTAAATGAAGCAGGCACTGGAAAGAAAACTTGTTCCACAGATGTGTGCATCTCTCAGTGTAGTTCCACAGTGTATCAGCAGGGGGAAGCAGTGCTTTTAGAAGCCAGAGTGGAGGCCCTGATGCACCCTCCTGTCACTGTATATGTCGACTCTTGCGTAGCTGCATTGAAGCCTGACCCTCTCTCCTTGCAAGGCTACAGGTTTATCACAAATCAGGGCTGAGTATTTTCTTTTGACTATAAGAAAAAAGTCAATACAGTTGTAGTCATTTGTGAATAGAACACAAAACACATCATGTCCAAGTCTGATACAGTCCTCCTGCATTACACATGTCTTATGGACAGTTTACTGCCAGACTTTCCATCTACATTCTACCATAAATGACTTTAACTCATGTCGTTCTATAATTTGTTGGGCAATTGGCAGTTTTTGTATTTTTTTTGTGTCTGTACGGCACCATTAGTCAGTCAATATTTGACTGAAGTGCAGACTTTCTGCACTTCAAAGAGTTTTATAAAGGTGTATATTTCCAGGGATTTTTATACACAAACCCGCATCAGAGGCTGAACATTAACAGTACAAACTAACATAGATTTAAATATAAGGTTTCTATTTAATATGTGAATAAAAATCCCGAAGTATAGAACCCATCTGTACCTGTCGGTCAGTTTCCAATTATTTTTGAGCCTCTGAAAATATAGGACTGTGTATTAAAATTGTTATTTCTAAACGGGTAATGTGAATTTTTTGTTAAACCCAGTAAAATTGAAAGTCTGCACTTCAGTCACATCTTTAGTGTTTGATTCAAAATCCACTGAGGTGGTGTACAGAGGTTAAATTACAAAAAGGGTTAAATTACTGCCTGTGTAGAAAACGTTAGGGAAGAACTGTAATATTGTTGAATTAAATATTGGACTAGTGTGCTTAATTAATGATTCTGTTTAAAGATGTTCATCAGCTGCCATCTTATGGCCACTTTGAAACAAAGCTTGAAAAAAACCTGCTTCTTTCACAGGCCCACCTTCAGTTTAGGCTTCTAAAATTTTAAACATTGCAGTTTCATATCTTCATACTTGTCAGTTTCAGTTTCATCTCAGGTCGCATCCACTGATGAGAGATGTACTTTTAAAGGTGTAGTTTCCCATCTAAAGGTCAGCATGTGTCTTTTGTTCAGCCAGCGTACGACAGAGGGAGACAGTGACCTGTGTGAATGCTGCTCTAACCTGTCTGCTGGTGACACACGACTCAGCTGGAGACAGGTTGGACATCCCTTTACAAACACAATATACACAATCATTGAGGTTATTTTTACCAGTTGTTCTAAATGCAATATAGTATCTGTACTACTGGTGTGTTCAGGAATTTGTTAAAGTGACAGCATTTAGACAGGTCCCTTTACCTTAATTTCTTTCACAGCTTCATTCAGACAACAGTGATGGAGAAAGATGTGGTGAGTATGACATTAGACTGTACATCAGGTGATGTAGTGTATGAGGCCGGTTTGCTTTCCATCCATTAATCTATTAGGATTGCTTACAATAGTTGCCATTGTGCCTATTTAGACATTAAGCTGACATTTTTAACCTTCAGATTAATGTAAATAAGTTCATGTCTCTAAGAATTGTACATGTTTTTGACAGAAACGAAGGACAAGGCTGACAAGACAGTTGGCCCTGTTCACATCTCTGTCAGTCGCTGAAAACCCCTTTTTTAGCTGCACAATTAGGTAGGTACAGGGACTCTTGAGACAAACTTGAGGAGCTGAACAATGAATAACACTGATAATAAAGTGGTTTTCCTATGGATCAATTCATTTAATTGTAAAAATGTATACCCAGAGCGGTCTTTTTGGAGCTGTGTTTTCTATAACCATCAATAATCTGTTTTTTCCCCTGAAAATAGACAAATTAACAAATCTTATCTATGTGAGGAGCAGAGGCAAGCACTTCTTGCTTCTTTTCTCACAAAATACCATAATACAGGGGTGTCCAACTCCAGGCCTCGAGGGGCAGTGTCCTGCAGGTTTTAGATATCACCCTGGGTCAACATGCCTGAATCAAAGGATTACTTCATTACCAGGCCTCTGGAGAACTTCAAGACATGTTGAGGAGGTAATTTAGCCGTTATATCTGCTGTGATGGATCAAGGACACATCTAAAACCTGCAGGACACCAGCCCGCGAGTCCTGGAGTTGGACAACCCTGCCATAATGGTATTCACAATGTCAGTTGGCATGTTCAGTGCCCTGCTGAGATGAGCTGGAGACACTGATTATAACAGGTCTTTACACTGAGCTATTTGATAAAGCACAATACAAGTACAGCATGTGGGGGTGGGATGGGAACAATTAAATCCATATTTTGGGGTAAAATCAACAAACTTTTAAAGGCGTGATTAGTGATTCATTACATGCCATATGCAGTGGAAACACTAATCTAGTCCTGTAAAAGGAAACATTAAGGACCAAATGGGAAACCACAGTGAGCTGTGTG